GTATTTAAATAATACTATAACTTGACTTTTTTAATATATTACATATTAATTATTATAAATACCACCATAAAAAGAAATAATACTTATCCAATAAAAAAAAATCCAACAAATAGGTTTATTACCAAATAATATTTATTCTTAATTGTTCCTTAATTATTTATACTAGTATTTAAATAATACTATTCCTCTTCACTCTTATATATTTATTAACATATTAATTATTTATTAAAAAAAGGCCACCATAAAGTAACAAAAAAATTATCCTAATTTAATAAACAACAAGCTCATAAAAATACTAACCAAATAATATTCTTACCAATGTTTATTGAAAAAAGAAAATCAAAACTATAAAAATCACCACCACCACTACCACCGCCACTAAAAAATATGACAATACCCATTCGCGAACCCTTTTTCTTCCTCCCTTCCTCTTTTCTGTGTAGACACGAAGTTACAGGAGGTAAAAGTAGTCGTACTACAAGGGCAAAAGAACGGGGTTCCAGTTTACGCCACCATAAATCGTTATTAAACGAGCATTCGCGAATACTACTACTACAAATACTATTACTAAGTCTTGTACACACTAACATCTATGTATTTGAGAGTAAGAAACTTAAGGACCACCCCGTAGATGTATAAAGTCGAACGTTTGACGCACCCATCGACGACCCTCGTGTCTCTTTTTCCTCTTCTTATATCCGACCTTTAAAAGAGGAGGAGGAGGAGGGGGGGGGGAGGAAGAACCTTCTTCTTCTTCTTCTTCTTCTTCTTCTTCTCTTGGTATCATGCAAGAGAGGGTGGGGGCGGGGGGAAGAGGGAGGAAGAAGGGTGGAAAAGGAATGTATTTGTCCTATACGTTAACTCTCGTCCTTTGTCCTTTCGTAGTCCTTTATTTACGTTCCTTGTCAATGTATTTCTGGTATTTAAAACGTACCATCATTTTTGAACGAGGGGTTCAAGGGGGGAAGAAGACAAAAGGGTGTTATTTCAAATTATTGTTCAATTAATGTATGAAAGTAATTCGTATTTTTTAATTTTGAATAATTTATGGTTTATTTCTTATTGGAACTTTAAGTATTCATTAATTATTTGAAAATTCATTGTTATTATTTATTATTCGTAATTTATTATTATGCAGTTTAAGTAAAAGGGATAACAACTTTGAATTTGAATTTAATTTCAATGATATTGGGATAAATTATTATTTATATTTTATATGGATAAATAATTGTTAATAAAATTATCAAAAATTTGAATTTTAATTAAATTAATAACATTTAATTAATTAACATTATATTTGAATAAATTGTAAATAATTTAATTTTTAGAATTTAATTTTAATGTGTTAATGAGCTAATAATTTGAATCATACGTGGCCCATTGCTGGGCCCATTAATCGGCAAACTACCATAATTCGGCCAATGATCAACTACCATTAATGGGCCGATGATAACTACCATTAATGGGCCGATGATAACTACCATTAATGGGCCGATAATAACTGCCATTAATGGGCCGATAATAACTGCCATTAATGGGCCGATAATAAATGCCGGTAATGGGCCGATA